CGAGGACGTTGTGGGTGTTAAAGGCAGTTGGAACGATAAATCCCCCAAGACGAGTAGAATTAATACGCCTGTCAGGACGGAATTCCGCGACCCTGAGCAGGCGCTGCATAATGCCTTTTCCAAGGGAGGTGCCCTTGAAAGCGTCCTATCAAGCCACAACATTTCGACCCAAACGCTCGCCACGCCCGCCCGCCCATAAATGGACGGCCGCTTCTGACGCTCTAATCGATTCATTTGCTAAGCAAATTATGAAGCGAAGGGATTGGTATGAAGCGGTCGTGATACTGCATGCATAAATGGATACACATATGCAGCCGTATCTTCGGTAGCAGTGATTGGTAAGATGCCTACCGGAAACTCGTCCGAAATCAATTTTCAAGTCACTGAGAACGGAGCTCTTTCGTCGCAGGATTTTGACCATTTCGCTCCGTTCTTTCGCCGTTTCCCCCCACTAAATAGCGCCATAGTAGCATTTCAGGTCAAGCCCCAAATCATCGTGCCAACTGCCTTTAAAGGCGGCCTAGTCCACTGCTATAGTCCCAATGATCGTTTCTCTCAGTTTTGGTTTTTCTTCTAGTGATGGATGGCGGAGACCACGACACACTCAAAACTCCAGTCATGACTGAAGAACAGATATCACATTCGCAATATTGTGCATTTAACTTCTCGGAGTAAATATTCTCATTTCCTGGTCACAAAGTCCTTCGGTTGTGTACACACAACGTGAATAAATGTTTATAAATGTTTCTTTTGAAATATTACAAGCCAACTGCCCGGTCGACGACTTTGCAATACTCCTATTCCAACACAATCGCGAACATATTGCATATGCAAGGCCCACATTCTGGACCACACCTGTACGGCGTCAATTGCACTCTGTGGTGTGCAGCAGCTGTTGATCGTGTATATTTTAGCATCGTCCGCATACATATTGCAAAAGGAACCATGCGGGAGACAAGTATTCAAATCGTTGACATATACAATTAACATTAGAGACCCTAAACATGTCCCTTGGGGCACTCCACTGGGGATGGAATAAGGGGAGGACAAGCTGTCGTTGATCTTCACGTAATGTTCTCCACCACTGAGAAAAGACCGTAGAAATTCAAGAAGTTGACCTCTGATTTCATAGGCAGTAAGCCTCCTGAGAAGCAAGGGGATAGATATAGAGTCAAAACTTTGGCATAGTCAATGTAACAAACAGAAACATAGTGTCCACTTCTCTATGCCAAAGCGGAATGGTGGACATGAGGGCAGATGTAGCCGATCTATGCTTGAGGAATTCGTGTTGACTCGGGTGCAGCAGGTTTCGCTCAAAGAGGTAGGCTGTTAACTTACAACATATGATGCGCTCCATAACCTTGCTGTTTGAGTTGGTTAGACATATTGGCCTATAGTTGGATACGTCCTCTTCAGAGCCCTTCTTGAATATTGGTCGAACAAAACCAACTCTCCATAGTTTTGGAACCTTTCCTTAGAGCAAGAGCCTGTTAAACATTACCGAATGGGGACGTGAGCCCCAGGGCAGCCTTCTCCAAGAAAATGTAAGGAATATTGTCCGGTGATGTTGGAACTCTGCTGGGAAGCCTTCGAATTGAATTGTAAACTAGATCATTCGATATGTCTATCCAGTCCAGCCCGTCAGTTAAAGGAGGGAGGCAAGCACCGGTATCGTGGCTCATGTTATAAACAGACTCGAAATAATCAGCAAACAAGTTTGCTTTCATCATCTTCAACAATGACTCCTTGAGACACCAAATTAGGAATGGAATCCATGAGTTTGAGTTTTTTTTCTTGCAATAGGAGTAAAAACGCTTAGAATTCTTAGTGGCTGCTATCTTTTTCTCTGTTGCTATCTGATGACGTGCAAGAGTACGCTTAAGCCGCCACACACAAACACGGTATTGGGTATCATACACCGAAGAAACCCTCCGATAAATATACCTGATTCTTGCTCTCAAAAAATGTACCCGTTTTGGATATTTCTCTTGATGCCTAGCATGACGTGTTAGGGGAATGTATTTCTCAGTAAGCTGACCACAAATGCTAACGAACTTGGAGTAAAAGATGTCTATTGTTGCCGACGTGTTGTTAATAGCAACCCAATCAATTCAAGATAAGGCTGAGATCACGCCTTCGTAGTCACCTTTCAGGAAATTACGATACCATCTGCTCTTTTCAGAACTACCTTGAGCACAATATGAGACTTCAAATTCAATCGAGTTGTGATCTGCAGTGCTGAAGGGTTCTAGTACACGATGCTTTGTGACGGGGGTAGGACTGGAAACCAGCATAATGTCTGAAATGTTAAGTTCACTCCCGTCCGACTCACATATGGCCCCGCCCCTTCACTCACGGACAAAGGCGCTGCAATGTAACTTACTAACCAGCGGCAATGACTTACCAAAAGTCCAACGGGGAGATCAGTACTTGGTAGACAGCAGATAAGGAGAGCGCTCAAGGTCAGTCACATCAGAAAGGAAATCCAAGCTGAAATATTACTGCTATCTTTCTTTACACGGAGTAGCAATCACTCCATCCAGGGGCACATCGTTGTTGGGACTTTCGCAACAGGAGGAAGGGGTCGCATTGAATTCAGAAAATTTTTTTGATAGTTGATTTTTCTTGTTTCAGGGACGATGTAAAGGGGGGGGGAGGTTTCGGAAAAAGTAGTAAAGTGGTAGGAAGTTGGGAGAATCTAAGAGAGAGAGAGAGGGTAGTATCCCCTCGCCGGTTTTCATTCACATGTACTATTTACCCTCCCCCCCCCCCCTCTTCCCGCTCGACCTCAACAGGTCGATGAGGAATGAACCGGGGGGTCGTACCAAACCCTAACTAAAAAAAGAGGAAGGTCGTACGGACTTGACCAAAATTCCCAACTAACGATGTGCCCTGACTCCATCAGTGTCCACAGTCATAAGTATGTGAAGTCAATTTATCAATGTCCAGCAGCTCAAAAAGATCCACAGTATTCCCAACTTTTGACGACTTTTGCCAACGCTACCGCTCTTGTATGTGCCCAATTGTCGATGTTGTCATAATCTCTTGGACGTGAGTTGCGACGGGGATGTGATGAGCCCACCCGCGGTGCTTCCACCAATAATTATCCCCTTCCTGGATCGATCACTAACTATAAGATCACCACTGGATCAAGGCACCCGAGTATGGGGTCATTCCGGCCCTCTCGCCTTCGCCCCGACTGTTTGCAACCTTATTAACTATACAGTCGCCCGCGTTTGGGCAAACAAAAAACGATCGAAAACTCAAAAAGCTAGTTATTACCCTTTCCAATGAACTCGTACGACCCCTTATAATGAGTCATCAGCTGCAGTGTACCCTGTCCAAAATTCCCTAAAGCCCTCTCCCGCATTTCGTGACCCTATTGAGTGGTCAATCGCCACCTAAACACTTATTTTTTTCATCTGGAAGTCGTTGTGTAGAGAGTGGCCTGCATTTAAAAAAGTGGTACAGTAAGGGGAAAGAGCTTCAGGAGTACTGAGCAAGGGGGAAGTTGGTATGTGACAAAAATAGGCTTCATTTATGTATCATGGGACTTAGAAACAGTGTGTGAAAATGGAGCACTATAGTGTAGCGAAAAAAAACATGCGTCCACATATGATATGGTGGCCGACTATAATGTTCCACCGAGGGATTTCCATAGATTTTTAATGATTTCATGAATGATTCCAAAATATTCCTACCGTTGTCAGCTCCTTGAAAACAACATTCTGCCCTGAAATTCATCTCAGCCACAATTGACACCCCCTAGACCCCTCGTTTACTAATATTCTAAGTCGTTTAGGTGCTTACGCAGCAAAACTCACAAAAAAAACCCCAAATTTCTCACATTGCGTAAGGACGACCCAAATAGAAATGTTATGATGGAAAGTTGTTGGCAGCAGAGTTCAAGAATGAATTCGAAAAAGCAAAAACCTGTGGAAAAAGACGAAACAGAAGGAAACGTACTGGTCTGGAACTCTCTTTCTGTAGTTGATCTTGATGAGTGGATGAGCATGATGAGAAGCGAGAAGAGACACTGGGAGTGCAGGCGAGAGAAAACAGACGAAAGCTGAAAGCGGTACAGATCGAGTCTTCCGTCAACGGCGTCCATTCCTGGGCGAGACCAATATCAGTCGGTTGGGTCGGTTTGACAGACCAGGTAATCTGAACTGTTTTGCTAAAACGCCACAGTTCGGACGTTGGCGAAAAACTGCACAGACAAAATCAGAATCACCCAGAGTTATCACACAATTGCATATTGGTAAAATCAGAATAATCACTTTAGCACAGATATTGATAGAGAGATAATACACTACAAACATGATAGTTTAACAAGTTCACCGGAAAATGTAACGAACAAAGACCACTCCAGACGATATCATCTAATGAGGCCGTGAAAACCCGTAACTTACACAATACGCAGCAATAAAAAAGCCTTTATCGAGTCTCGCAATAGTGATGTGAAATAAATGTTCAGATATGTAAAAGATAAGAAAAAGCGTGACCAAAAGACAACTTACAAGCTCAACAGCTCTACCGCCAGTTTGAAAGGAAACTTCCCAGAATGGACCCAAACGGGTTTAAGCAAAACCATGAGCTCTCCCTTTCACATCTCAAAAAGCGCTGAATTTTTCGCTGATTCTCCAATATATTTTTACACTCGCTTTTTGCAGCTACATTCCAAAAAAATGGGGCCATCATGAAATTTCCAAAAACTGCTTCTTAGGAATGGGCAATAGTTGTCCTTTCCACTCTGCGATACCCGGGTGGGCGGAACCTCACAGCCATTGTACTGACATGAGCTCAATGGTACCATTCTCTTGACAGAATTAGAAGGAAAGATCCAGGTAATGATGCACCGTTTCGTTTTGTTCATGCTCATTCCCGAAACCCTTTAACCCATATGGCAAGTTTTTCAAGTCCAACTAACATTACAGAAATCGAAAAAAATCAGCGTCTATGTTTGACCAGTACCGTTGATTTCGCTCATCTTTCAGGGGCTAAACCATGTAAGACTGCTGTTGTTCCTCGGGCGTCAATAACCAATAGGTCTCCAGTGCTCCTTTCCCCTGAAAACAAGTTTATACATTGTTACACGCACCTCGGCTGCATAATCAGTAAGGCTTAACTTATTTGGTGCCAGTACCAGTATAAAAACATTCCAAATTTCGTCATACGCTGAAGTCTTTAGAAAAGTCCGCGTTGGCCGCCAAAATGGGCCAGCTTGAAGTCATCAAGTTCATTGGGCTTAAGAGATCATTTCCAGCAGTAAGTTAGTTGAGGCGCACTTGCTATCCAATCAAGCCCCCCCCCTCCCCTTCTTTGAAGACCGTACAATCGAAGGTAAAAAAGCGTGAGCGTGTTTACCAATTTCCCAGCCTGAATCTATTGAAACGAAGTAAACTGTAAAACGAGAGAGTTGCCTTGAATTCGCAGGAATACGCCTTGCCTGAGATGTTCAGTGATGGTGGGAAGGGTAACCATCTAGTGCTCGTCCATGCAAATAAATGCGTTCATAGGATTTACAAAAGGTTGCAGCTTCCCCACAGACCAGTTTGTCGGATAAATGCAGGCACCTACCTACGATTTGGAGGCGGAGGTGGTGTAAGAGCAAAGGCACGCTTACCACGGCTGGTCCGAGGGTCACCTCATATCGACAACCGGCTCTTCCATCCTCGGGGCGATCGGTACCGTACTTTTATGGGAGGACAAAAACACGTACTTGTACATCGGCTACTTCCTCCTCCCCTCCAAGTCCTTGTCACGGATCATATCGCACCCGAGCCACTAAGATGGAAGCAGAATGTGTGCCGCATCCCAAATGGCTTGATCAACAGTGAAGCTCACCCTCCATCCTCAATATTCTGACACCAATCTGGATTGCGCGCAGTGCTGCAAGCACCTCAAGATGAATCCCATCAGGCTGACCGCTGACAAGTTAACTGCATCACGAACCTTTGACCCAACTCTGGTTCTCTGAAACGATGTTCACACTGTTTTTTTTGGCGAGCCCCTGTCCAGCAACTGAATACGACTATCCTCGTTGGAAAATCCTAGCGACGATGTGCCCTACTGCGGTACCCTCCTTTCTGCTCACCTGTTCATGGCCACGCTGTAATGTATACCATACTCTCACCTATCGGTAGTAACCGCTGCGCCCAAACTATAAACAGAGCTCGAAGAGTGGACAAACTATTCCATCACAACGCTTATTACCCCGAAATCTTGTAGATAGGACTGCTCTGATGCGGTCCTCCTAGCTTGGCTACCCTTTCAAACCTGTTAGGTTTGATGTTCATCCTCAACTATAACCCATTTCCAGGTGTATTAAGGTAATTTTCGAATTTTCATCGCGTATCCTCCCCAAAGCAACGTATGACTTTGCCTGCCCTCCCGAAGGGGGTCCTACTGACTTGTTCACAATCCCCAACCCAAGGGGGCGCTCTGCACGACAGAGATGGAGGCATCCTACCGTACCTAATTCTGCATCTCTCCTGTGTGACTTATATTATGGTCACTCCCGGCTGAATCGAGTGTGAAAAAAGTTCAAGATCGTCTTTATGTCTAATTCTATCAAATTCGAAAGGCTACCATGGCTTAGTCCATAAAGACAGACCTTCCCTATGAGTTCACCCCTTGGCTCAGTTTTGTGACCACCACCGATGACCATGGTCAAAAAGTTCATCGTATCCGTTGAGATGTGAACTCGTCCAGCCGAAACAAGATTATAAGCCACAAGACAAGATTACAAGATGCGGATAAGATCGTATCAGAACAGTTCTGGATTTCCTCTTCATACGTTTTCCATTGCTTTCCATTCGACTACCCGTGTTCACCTCACCGAAACGACAGTATCTGGGCATTGTCATTCCTACAACACCGGTCACCACAGATCCTGGAATCGTTAAGATTTTCTTTAGTTTCTTAACCCTAATCATTTGATTATTTTAGGCTCTCCTTTTCGGATAGGTCCTGTCTAGGCTGGCCTTATCAGAGGAAGCGGACAGAGGGAGGCGAAGGACAAGACGGTCTTAACTTGTCGCGTCGTCGCGTGCGGCGTATCGTGCGGTGAAGTGCGACAAATTCTCTATACGTGTTATTCGCCGATTGGAAAACACTCGCATGAACTCCCGCGAAAGGAGAAACTCTTTGACGGGCTATATCGGAATTAGCATCCCTGCATCGTGTATTCAAACGGCCAGGTTGGGCCACACATCTGTCGGGTGCAGCATCGCTCGCCATGCCCATCATTGCAGCATATTACGATTGTCTTATCACACACCTGACAGAAAGGACACCCCCCTCCTCAGGCAGAGACACAAAATGCAATGGGAAATAAGGCGTAGGGTAAAGAACATGAAGGAAAAGAGAAATATGATTTCATCCTATATTAGCCCACCTGTATGACCTACTCGGATATTAATTTTCTCTTTTGGCAGATGAGGAACTCGAGATCCGCTGATTACTCTGAGCAGCTCAAAGGACATCTCAGCGATTTCTTTGGCATGTTTGTTACCATTTCGATGTGGCAGTCCAGAAACGCATAAATAACCATCTCCTATTGTCTCGACCTATGATAGAGCATTCACTCAATGTTCCCTTAACTGCAGTTCTTCTGAAAAATCAGTGAATCTTGTAGACATCGTGTTCATCAATGATTCCGTCGAAAGAGTGTACAGATCGTTGAGCAAATTGACGACCTGGAAAAAATGTAAGTAACAAAAAACACCTGAGGCTGGTCGTGGTGAGCTGGAACACCACTGTCAAAATGGCTCCCTTGTGATCGATACTTACCACCATTTCACACAGACAGTGGCTCAATTTCGGACAAAACGCCATAAAATAAAGCTAAAGACATTCCTCATTAAAGTGGCTTTCCTCCTGTATACTGGCTTCCCTTCCGTACACACGTTGGGAGGGCGTCTAATTCTCGCACCCTTGAGAAACTACGAGTACTATGAAACAATTACCTGTAATGGTGTACATCTGCTAGCCAACGCGGTAAATGAAACGACATCGGAAAAGCACAAAGTGACACATTCGAAGGTCTCCGGTTCGAACCGACTGACCATGTTTGAGCTTCTCAGCGACTTGCCTGAGGAAGAGTATTCCCTTCTTTGCCTTACTAATCTATCCATCAATAATAATAACGGAAGCATTGTGTGAGGAAAAGTGGTGCGTTGCGAAAACAACTCTTTTTCATTTCGGCGTCGAAGTTTGCAAGGTAAGCGGGATGAGGAGCAGGGTTGCTCAAGTGACCTCGTAGAGTACAACTGACTACACCGTGCGCGTCGTCGTCTATCGTTTCAAGTGTTTTCGCACTCTTTCACTGCATTTGTCAGGTTGCTGGTCTCACTGTCAGTAGAAATTTTAGTGAATCTTCGTCCCTAGTCTGAAGAAATAAAAGCCTCATTCAGGACGGTTCCCTCTTTTTTCCGACAGCTCCCTCCTTTTGCTATCGGGTAAGTGAATCAGTACACACAATCCTGTTTTTCCACTCTGCTACTTTTCCAACAGTTATTCAAGTTCAGTTACGTGCGCGGGACTACAGTACGTCTCAGCGTGGATTCTTTCGACTCTGTTGACTCTAATAACATGTGTGAGAAGAGTTCGAACGAAGGAACCTCGAAGCTCAGAGTACTCCCGGAGTGGTAAATGTAAGCTGTTTTCAAGTAGTGTTCCGCGGAACTGCATTCAGTGGTCATAGTATACTTTCAATCCAGATATTTGATCGAAATTGATTGTAGGGTGGCTGCTTGACGAAACATTTCACCTGTTAAAAAAGAAATTCGCGTGTATCAAGCGTTTGAACTGTTCTCACATATGTATATTACCTTATAGAAATAATTTCGCGACGTGTTGTGGTTCCGGTGAATGTCGAGTATGTTCTTAAACCGAAAGCTTATAGAAGTCTGAGGGTTTCAAAATTTTTCCTCAAGTGTGGGGTCAAGAGTTGGGCCCCACGGTCGGTAGGAAGACTCAGGCGACTTATGTGATTTTTGAAATGCAATGCGCGGACTTCATTTCGGTGGGAGTTAATAAAGCCAAGTGCGATAGACCAACTTCGGCAACATGCGGTACAGTAGAACGTCGCTTTTCTTCTTTTCCTCAATCAGCTCCTTCATCCGAGATTGTACCTGAGGGAATTTACGTTGTATTCACTATTCTCGGTGAGAAACATACCTCGTCCTCTAAATTTAAAGCGTACTGTTCCAGCACATTGAACACGTGGTCCATAAGATTCGAGGACCTAAAGCATAGCCTTCAGTTGTTTGGTTGCAACTTATAGGAGTTTTATACATGAAGGGTGATGCTAACCCTTTCTATCAGAATCCTAATGGCCAGGTGAGCTGGTAGTGATTCGCGGTATAGATAGCAAAGTTTTCTGGGATAGATTTCGAAGCCTAACATTGTTGTTTAACATACCATCTCTTTCAAATGACAGTAGGAGTCCTTTAACCCATTTGTGACAATGCTCGCCACTGCGGTGGACACCGTGATCTCTATTTGGGACCTTGTTCGCCATATGTGGCGGATGGGCTTTTCATGAAACTCTTAGAATGGAGCAACACTACACGTCTCTACTAACTTGAGCAAATGGTGGACCAACGAGATCTTCGCCTACAAAGGTCCTAGGCATGATTCAAGTAGCAGCACCTGGACGCAAAATCTCTAGAGAAAATGCTGCTGAACTGTCTGTAGGGGTTACTGGGCGCCCTGATTACGAATATGACGACGCTGGCACTGTTTGAGGCTATTTGGCGTCAGTGGGCACCAATCTAGCGCCATCACTTTTTTCATGAAAGCGGTGTAAACTTTCTTGGTGGGGTTATTTGACGTCATGATAACGAATGTGGCACTCATTCTTGGCGGTGATACCAGCGACCCAGAATGGTGCCAGCGCTAACTTTGCACCACTACCTTTTTTGTCGAAATTCGGACAAAGTTGCACTCTAGAGTTTTTTGTTTCTGTACGTAATAATATGACATTCACTATAGATACCGGCACAACTGGCGCCAGTAAGCGCCAATTTGGGGCTATCCCTTTTTCCACCCAAACTGATGTAAACTTAGATGCCAGGGTTATTCGACGTCCTAATTACTGATAAAATTCATTTTCGTATAAGTGTCGCGGTTAGCGACAACGTTGGCCGGGGGTGCGCCTGGGCTCTGGCGCGCTACACGGGCAAAGCCGCAACGCGACCACCGTAGGCCGCGCCGCCGCCCCGCCCCCAGTGGAGCCTATATAAGGGCTGCCACTAGCCAGTCGGTGTGCTTCTCTCCCTCCGGGAGGGGAGATCCACCGGGCACCCCCTCTGCCGCCATGATGCCGGACGGTTGGCAGGGTGCTTGCACTCTGCACAGCAGTGTGGTCGGGCACACTGCTCCGTCTGGCGGAGCTCTGCCTTTGGCCCGTGCCTGTTAGACCAGGAGCACGGCCGGCTGCGGGTTGAAGCTTGGCGCCGCAGGGCGCCATTTACCGCTAGGATCACTGAACGTTGGAAGATGGATGGTCAGTCCAGCTACGGCAGGATACGAGGACAGGTTGGAAGATGGTTACCGCTAGCACGTGAGCTAATAAATGTGAAGTTCATTTATCTTGTAATGTTTGCAATAAATGGGACTTGGAAGCGACCGGGCGGATGGGCCCGCAAGGGGCTGGTAAGGTTCGAGGGGCATGGTCGGTTGTAGGTATAGGTTGTTGGTTGTTATGTTTCCGTTATTCGGCTGTTACATGCCTCCGGGCCAGGTGAGCCACGTAGGCATGTAACTAGACCGGCTACGGCAGGCTGTAACAGTGGTAGGGGCCGGCTGACCCGGGGGTCCAGGACGGACTTGGGGAGGTCGGACCCACCACGGGGACATGCCTGTGCATGGGCTGCCGTCTTCTGCAGCCTGCCACGGGCTTGAGATCGGGTGGTCTCCCGGGGAACGGTGGTCATATCGTGCGGGAAAGCGGTATAGTCCCCTGGAAACTGTGCGACCGAGGTGGGCTGATGGTGTGTAAGCGGGACCCTCGATACACCGATGCTCGTCGTGGGAGAGGACTAGTAGGGCGGTCTCTCTCTGAACTACGACAATAAGTGCTTCTAGGATCAGGTCCCCCTTGCATGGGGGTTCCCTTGTGTCACGCAGCGCCTCAGTCGGATAACAGCTTTGTAATGCTGAGCGCTCACTCTATCAACAACAAGCTCTCCGACCTATACAATCTTCTGTCTTCTAATCCTGAAGCAGTCTTCATCACCGAATCATGAGCCACCAGAAATTGTGGAATCATGTATCAAATGGTGCAAGCCCCATTTGATACATGATTCCACAATTTCTGGTGGCTTCCCGTACCAGGTTTTGCGCTGCGACCGAGAAGGCGTGGTCACGGGAGGGGGAGTTCTTGCCCTCATTCAAAACTCTATCCCCGCAGTGTTACTTCTTCCTCGAACTGTTCGCCGTATATCCAATGTCTAGCGGTCCAAATGGAGGTCTTGACTTTGAGTGTCATTGTAGCCGTATGCTATCGCAGTCCCTCTTCCTTCCAGATTTTCGTCAACTGTTTAGAAGAACTGAGTGAGAAAACAGTCTCTATCATTATTCTGGGAGACCTTAATCTTCCTGGTATTTGTTGGGAGCAACCCACACATCTCGATACCAAATCATTCACCTCCCCTATGTGTGGGCTGTTTTACAGTTTCGTTCGATCTCACAATCTCGAACAGTATGTCAAGTACCCCACTCATTGTGGAAATATTCTCGATTTGATCCTCTGTGACAACTCATCGCTTCTTGCTAAAGTAGAAGTGCAAGCGCCTTTCTCTTCATCCGATCATGCCTCGGTATCCTTTTCACTGACGAACGATCCTCCCGTCTCTTTCTCCTCTAAAACCCTGAAAGATTTTGGTAACGGAGACTACGGGGAAATTTGTGAGCAACTGTTGCGGGTTGTTTGGCGGGATACCGTTGACTCTCTTGAAACTTCTAGCCAGTGCTACGACGTTCTTTCCAATTTCTGTTATGAGCTGATAGGGAAGTTTGTACCTTACTCTACGAAAGAAATGATGGCAAGCAAAGAGCCGCGGAAGATTTCTTTTTTGAAAACTCGTGTGGCATGTTTGTACAAAAACGGGGAAGGGGTTCATGACCCACAGTACGCCAAGGCGGTTAGAACGCTAAAAAATAAACTAGAAAAACTCAAGACAAAGTACGAAGCGAGAATAGCGTCGTCCAGGAGCCCTAAAAGATTCTGGAAGTATTGTGCCATAAGACTTATAGACTCCTCAAGGATAGGCAGTGTTACTGGTCAAAATGGTGCTAACTGCTCTTGATGCGGACAAGGCCAAACTATTCGCGGACTACTTCAGAACCTTTTATAGTCACAAATCCATTGAGCCAGTTATGCAGTCTACTTGCCACTGAGCCAACATCAACTGGGTAGATATCAGCTGTGAAGACGTGTACCGTGCATTAAAAAGCCTGCCACTTTCGTTCGACTAGTCCCCTGATTTGCTTTCTTACATTTTCCTCTACAAAGCAGCAATGGGGCTTACTCCTCCCTTGACCATCTTGTTCAATAGAGTTCTTTTGGAAGGTGACGTTCCAGAGATCTGGCGTTTGGCCTGGGAAGCCCATACACAAAAAAGGGGCGAAAAATGATGTTAGAAACTACAGACCTCTCTGTCTGACATCTTGTGTTAGTAAGGTGATGGAGAGAATTGTGTGCTCCCGCATCAAAGGGTATTTTATTCGGAACCAGTTCATGTCTTCTTGCCAACACGGATTCCTGCTTAAGAAAGTCTGCCTTAGCCCTTATGTCTAATACTCCTTTATGGCAAAAAAGACTCAATAGGAAGCAATGCGTTTTTGCGGCGTTCATTGATTTTTGATTCAATTCCACTCAATCTATTGTTTTCTAAACTTGAAACCTTTGGTATCTCCGACTCGTTGCTCAAATTTCTTGTGTCCTTCCTATCTCAGAGAGAGCAAGCCGTTATGATCAATGAATTTTTATCAGAACCTTATAAAACCCTCAGCGGAGTGCCCCAGGGTGCGTGTTTGGGACCTCTTATGTTCCTTATGTACGTGAACGATCTTTCTGATTCCCTGCCTGCCCCGATAATTTACACAATGTATGCAGATGACGTCAACTTGTGTTCGTTTGGTGACCCACGCGTACTGCAGGTCTCACTGGACGCTGTGCGTCAGTGGTTTATCACTTGGGGCTTGGACATATCGCCCGAAAAAACATATGTGACGAAACTGGGGCCCTGCTCAAATGACAACCACTTCCTCTTAAATGGGATCCGGATAGCCAAGCCACATTTTGTTATAGACCTTCGTCAAATATAATAATGCTCTTTCTTTTGAAAAATATATAGAGGACACCGTGAACATGGCCAAATCGAGATGTAACTTTATCCTTCGGGCCTTCTCCAGTAGACGGGTTGAAACATTGTTCACGCTTTTTACGGCTTACGTTAGACCTCACCTAGAGTACTGTGTGCCAATTTGGTCACCTTCAAGCAGGTGCTTAGTGAAGCTGATAGAACGGGTTCAAATCAGCCGTTTACTGAGAGATTATTCGCGCGCGCAGGCTTATTTCATATTCCATATGAAGACCGCTTCGACTGTCTTAGCTCGACAACACTTGAGATGCGAAGGAAAGTTATGGACCTTGACACAGTATTCAAGTTATTTAGAGGGGAAATTGATGTAGATATTGACTTGCTATTCAGAAAATCTGCTACTACGGGCATTACGCGAGGGCACTGCTTCAAGCTGCTGAGAGAAAAACTCGTTCGAGCATGTATAGGGATAGCTTTTCGCAAAGGGTTATCTCCTTTTGGAACAGTTTGCCAGCCGATATAGTCTTTCCAAGGAAAAGATTAGTAGGGTACTCAAAAAGCGCGACTGGCACTGAATGAAAGCCTAACCTAAATGCTCAAAGACAGTTGCACTTCTTGCTTGTGTGTTGCTGTTGCTGTTGTTTTTTTTTGTTGTCCTTATGTTGCTTTCGCTTCTAGCTCTGTAAAGCTGTCCTTGGGCAGAGGTTCTTTTCTTTTCTTAGTTATGTATATCTTCTGTCCCACTGTCCTTTTGTTGGTTGGTCACTAGTGTACTGTCCTTCTATTCCTTTCCTAGCCTTAGTGAATTTCTTTATTTTGCCGTAAGAATGCGTTCTGGATGCATGAACTGACCGTTACAAGTGGAAGTCTGGATGACAGTTTCATCTCTATTCATGCTTTTTA